CTGGACCAGCTGGAACCATAGATGCTTCTATTTTGGCTAACAGCTTTTCTGCTCTATGTTTTTTGACCTGGGCCTATTCAGACATTAGAATGGTAAATATGAGCAAAGAAAGTCCAAAGTTGTTAAGACAACCATAAAAAAAAACACTATATATATATATATGTGTGTGTGTGTGGGGGGGGTGAGGAGAGGAGAAATCTATTTATTCTAAGAGTAAGTCTATCTAGATTTATTTTATTTAATAATTTATATTCTATATCAAATTTTAACGATTCAATCGTTGAATTGAAAGTTCTTAATGCATAAATCAAGTCAATAAATTTTTAAAAAAGTTTAAAAATTATTTGATACTTTGTTTCATTAACTCAAAATGATGTACAAAATAATCTTATGATTATTTGTCAATTTAAATTAATGAAACGAAGTATTAAATGATTTTAAAATCTTTTAAAAGTTTTTAGACTTAACCTATGTATTAAGAATTTTAAATTTAATGGTTGAATTATTAAAATTTTATATAAAATATAAGTTGTTGAATAAGATAAATTCAAATAGATTTATTCTGAAATAAACAAATTATATATATATATGTGTGTTAGAGACCGATGGTTCTGCCTGCGATTGTGTAACCGGGATATTGTCGTGCTGCTAGCGTCCTCGGTCTCTCGACCAAACTAATTTATCACGCAATCTAACATGGTTTGCTTAAACTTGTGAAGCTATTAAACTTCAACACGCTTTCACCATAGATATTTCACCTACGTTCCAATGTTTCATGATCACATGAAAACACAAACACAAACGATAAATGGTGACAAGGTCTTTTTCGGCATAGACAACCACATGCCAAATTACCATTAATCCTACAGCTACAACCACTGAACGTTTCTATAATGGCACCTTCTGAGGGCAGCCTGGCGTGTGCGCTACTTATTGTCAAAAAGAAAAAAATGGAAGGGGCGAAGGGTACTCATAAATATGATCTCCAAATGCATCCTATAACATTGTAGTATGAAGCAGATGCGGAATACATAATTACATTACACACTGAATACTTGCGTCAACAAAATGTCAAAACATAACTTCTTTAAAATCCAGAGGTTTTATTATATGGGACCTATAATTCTATAAAATTAATTCCATCTTTACATTTAGCATCTTACATCTGTGTTAGTATCTAAGGCGTGCATAACAGAGGCATCCGATTTAAAAGAAAAAAAGAGATGGGTAAATAGCCATCCCACAACATTGCTCT